CCTTGTCCTGGGAGCTATGGGGAGTTACAAAACAAGGTGAAGTCTAGATCCCCACCCTGTGGGAGCTCAGGGGTAAAAGACGGGTAAAACATCTTTCAGAGCACAGAAGCCAAACGCCAGCACCCCAATACCAGCACAAGCATTGCCCCTAACAAAGGTATTTCTGTGCTCTGCTCCAGCCCCTAACTTCATTTCCTTTGGTTTTTCATAGAATTTAAGGGTTGGAAAGAACGTTATCTGATACAACTATGTTCCGGGACAATAAACAAAACTGGATCATTCACTGAAATATACTGTAAGGAGATTGGACTTGTCTGTATGTGCTGGGGAGGTGGGGAGAGATATGTGTGTGTGTTTATGACCAAAGATAACTGTCCCATTGCAGCTGAGGGTTCCATCATCTCTTCCAAAGTCCCACTGTAACTCCTACCCCCAAGCTCTCCGCCCACCTCCAACCTCCCGCCTCCACCTTCCCCACCTGTAAAAGATGACCTCATCTCCCATGTTACTAAGAAAATTCGGCTCCACTCTGTCCTTCTTTGCTCAGGCCCCTCTCCTCCAGGCTCCCATTATGAAAAGAACATTCAAAGGCCCCTCTCAATGTAACCTCAGCCCCAACTTTGCAACCTCGGCTCCACTGGCCACCAGCTTGAACCCCATATACTAGTCAACAAGACTATTCACTGTGCACTCTCTGTACTTTATGCTTTCCACTGCTTGCATCTTTGGCACATCTCATTAATCAGTAATCCCCTCCTCCAACCTCCACCTCCTCCAACCCCACCCATCTTTGAGATCCTGGGTCAGATGCCACCTGCTTCAGAAAGCGTCTATTCAATATCTCTCTCTCTCTCTCTCTCTCTCTCTCTCTCTCTCTCTCTCTCTCTCGCAGGCACTTACATGGCCAGGTATTACAGTGATGAGTGTACCTCTTGATGACCCCAGACTTCAGGGGCCAGAATGAGGTCTTACCCATTTTGGCTGCAGCCACAGCTTCCAGCTCTGTGCCTCTCTCACTAAATTCAAGCTGCTTAGACAACAAAGAGAAAGAAGAAATGGAAAAATGAAGGAAAACGTGTTGTACCATAGAACTGCATGCTCTTAGAGCCTGCAGGGGGCCTTAGAGGACTCCTACTCCAAACGAGGAAGCCGTAAGGATAGGCTGGTGGTCAGTGTGAAGAACCCTGCCAGGTCCTCCAACACACAGCCGAGAGCTCCTTGGGACCAGGATGGTCAACAGTCTCGCACCTTAGGCTTGTGTCTGCTCCATTCAGGGTCAGAGGTGTCAGCCCAGGCTCCCTCCACAGCATGGACCATGCCCAGGAGTAGAAATCATCTGAATCTCAGCCAGCTGCTGGGGCTCCCCTCTGTAAGGAAGGACCGTGTCTTCAACACCCCTCCCTGACTCTCGAGCTCAGGCGCCATCTGCTGGTCGAGATCAGCACTGCACCTGGACCCACAGCCCCAAGGGCAGTCAGGAGACCAAGGTTGAGACCATCTCCAACCCACACTCCAGATCCAAGTCACTTTGGGAGCAGCAGAAATGACCCCACCTCCTAGAGTTCTGACTTCTGACTGATTCCCAGGACCTGTCCTTCAGGACTTAAGCCTAACATTCAAAAGAAAAAGAAAAAAGTAAGTTTCTTTGTGGTAATAATAGTAGAAACTTCCAAGGCACAGATACACGGACACATAGAAAAGTGATTTACAGAGGATTTCTGCCAAACAGAAGCTCTGATAATAAGAGACAAAACACTGGCCAGAAGATCAGGAGATCTGAGGTCTTGTCCCATCCCTCACATGCCATTCCCTTAGCTACCCAGTCCCCCTGACTCCCTACCCAGGCCAATCCCTATGCCAGGATGGTACCCCTTCACTTGCCCTCACCTCTGCACTGACAGCACTGGCTGCTGTCCAGGGATTTGGACTGATCCAGAACCAAGTGCAAATCATGGGATCCAGAAGAGCCACCACCTAACCCTCATCCCCCATGCTGGGGACACCCCTCAGGGCCAGCCCTATCTGCCTGGGACAGGAATCAGTCTGAGGATATTAGTGACCCCTGCAAGGCCTCTGCCGATGGGAGGGGCCCCTAAGAACATAGAGGGAACCAATCAGTGCAAGCTGGGACGCACCGGCCTCGAGCTCCTCTGGCCACCTCTCCTCACTCTGCAGTCTGAGATCTAGGGGCAGCTATGCAGTCTTTGAGCTCCAGGTAACCTCAGAGCCCACACAAGGACTCACACCTAGGAAGAAGATGGTGATGCATGGCAGACTCGGCTTCCTTTCACCACACTCCTGGAACCAGGGATGGAATGGACGGTCCCAGGGCAGGTGAGGAGCCCAGGATCAGTGGGGCTGGCACAAACATCTTTCTGGGGGGAGGGCTGCTCCCCGAGAAGTGTCACAGGACACTTCACTGGAGGAGGAGGGAAGTGCAGAGTGAGTGACTTTCCCCTCCCTCACAGCCCCACACCCACCTACCCTGCTTCCCACCTGTCTCCTTTCCCCTCCCTCCACCCACAGGCTGAGAAAGTGTGTCACCGGGAACAAAAGGGGTGAGGGAAGACTTTGACTGTGCACCTGTAGTGCCGGGTAAGAAACCAGAGGTCTCTGAGCTTCCCAGCTGTGAGGGACGCCCCCTCTGAGCCATGACCTTGACATTAGCTTCCTTTTCTCAGAGGACTCAAGTCAAGCTGTGGGTCAGAAGCCACAGGCCACCACGCTCAGGAGGACTTGGCTGGGGGGCCTAGAGAAGAGACACTAAAGATGCAGGCAGCATCCTCCAACCCCAGACATGCCAGCTGGGCGGGCACACCATGACTGCTGACACCCCCAGCTTCCCATCTCGCTCCACCCTGGCTCGGAGGAAGCCACTGCCCTGCTCTTGCCTCCCCCTCCAGCTCTCCAGAGACGAGTCGGCCTCCAAGGGTTAATCTGCTGCCTTCCCTCCCTTGCCTCCACCCTCCACTGAGCTGCCACATGCTAGCAATGATGCACTTCACACTGTTATTATTTATTTAGTTTTATATTTAGTTTTAGTGATTTATTTAGTTTTAATTTGGGGGTGCACCTCATGCTGTAGGAAGCAGGAGGCCAACAGTCTTGGCAAGAAGCAAAGGCACACACGGCTGTGCCATGCCAATCCCGTCCCCTCTGCCTGCGGCCCCTGCATCCTAAGCCCGCTGTTCCCAGCCTGTGGTCTGCTCCTGACACCAGCCCTAAATCTTCACTCAGTCTTCCGCCCGTCTCCTTGGAGGAGATGTTCCTCCTCAGTAGGAAGGGAATCCACAGAGGTTTCTATGCTCACCTCCTGCGCGACCCAGGCCCCCCAGAGTCAGTTAATGAGGCCAGCCCAGGCCAGGCTATCACTGAGGAGTGGTTCACCTTTGGCTGGATGCCGGGCACAAGATACCAGCTCCACAGAAAGGCACCGACAGCCAGGGCCAGCTCCACGCAGACCAGAGAACATGGAACATGGTCTTTACGAATCTCTGCCCCTACTCTCTGCCCAGTCCGCAGTAGCCTAAGGAAACTGTCACTTACCAGCCATTGGTTCATTAAACAAACACTCGTGCCCACGATATACCATATCCTATTCTGGAACTGCAGATAGCATTAAAAGGACCATCATGGTCTTCATCCCCAGACTTTACAACTTACCATGAAACCAGCTAGACACAACTAACCAAACTACAAAAGGCACAAGCAGAAGGAGCAAAGAGCTGGGATTTGGCCGGGACACACAGCATCTCGCACAGTGCCCAGCATTTGGTAGACAGATGGACGAATGGCCTAGAAACACAAGGAATCACTTGACAGGGAGAGAATGGGGTAAAGAGATTCCAGGCAGACAGAGACCATGGCAACTTGAAAGTGGATGGGGTAGACCTTGAAAGTCCTGCTAAAGATTTGATTTGGGGAAATTGGGAGGCACCAAAGGTAATAAAATAATCTCAGGAAAGGCATCAGCTGATCTAGGCCTGACTTTAAGATTATTTTGCTCAGAAAAGTTCCAGATCCAAAGGATTCTCTAAGAGGAGAATTTCAAATATAATAATAGGTGAAGGGAGTAAAGAAGTTTTTTTTTTAATTAGCGTTCTCTGGGGTACCATGAAATTATAGCACATAATTTGTAAGTCTGGGCCTGATCGGCCAGTCGGCACCCTGCAGACGGCTGCTCCAATCCCTCCCCATCCCCAGAATCAAGATGAGCAGAACAGGTCAGCAAGGATCCACACCACTGTGGCAATCTGGGTCCCACACATCCTGCAGGTCACTGGCATGAGTCCAAAGGAGTGTGACCAGGGCTGTGTATGGAAGGGCCCTCAGTCCCTTTCTCTTTTGCTCCATGGGGTGGATGAAGATCAGGAAAGTTTGAGGAGGCAGGCCTAGCCCTTAGGAGGAAGCATGTATAACAATTAGAGATGAGTGATAATAGAATGGACCACCTTAGGCAGCAGGTAAGAGAATAAGCTTCCTATCACTGGAGGTAATCAAACGGTGGCCCACAGACGTTCTGGAAAAGTCATAGCATTGAATGATTAGGACAGCTCACTGATAGAGCAGTGCACTGGAATCACTTACTAACAGTCCCCTTGGATGCTCTACCTGATCACTCTAAGTCTCCATCCCTCATCTGCAAAATGGGGTTACCTCATAGGTTTGCCCTGAGGACTAAATGAGATAACATGTGGGAAACAGCGCAGCTGTGAGCGCGCAGTAAACCCTCAATAATTGATAGGTATTATTAAATTCAACCATATGAATCATATTAAGTTACAGGTCAAAAACAGTCAAATATCAACGATTTCGTATGGCCCAACTAATATTTTATACTGAGGGCCACTGAGGTTCCTTCTAACCTCTCTGCTTTCACACTGAAAGTTTCTGCAAAGCATAGTTCCACACCACTGGTGGACCCCAGGGCCTGAGGCCAAGCAGCGAGAACTCTGTGGGGGCCTTTTCGGAAGCCCATCCCCCCTGGCAGAGGTGGGTACCTCTTTGCCCAGGTCCTCTCGGATGACCTGGCGGACCTCCTGCATGCTGCTCTGCGGGGCCTGGCTGTGTAGCACCTTCAGCGTGCTGGTGTACTCCTCCGGCAGCAGGTAGTCCAGAGCCCCCAGGTGCTGACCCACCTTGATGAACGTGCCCCGGTTGGCACAGCAGAGCTCGCAAAGGCGCCTGGCAGAGCGAAGGTGCACCTGCAGGAAGACAGGCAGGGCCAGAGAGATGTGAATGCTCACTGTCCGCTGGATGCTCTTCTCTTCTCCTGCCCCCTCTGCTTAGAAACCCTGATTCACCATCACCACGCCCCCAGTGTACATATGTGCGCGCGCGCGCACACACACACACACACACACACACACACACACACACACACACACACACACACACACACACACACACACACACACACACACACACACACACACACCGTCATTCACCTTCAGTCTCCCGGTACCCGGAGCAGTCAATTCCAATCTCAAACTGCAGCCAGCCTCCTGACATGGCCCGATGCTTCTGATCGCCTTTCCTTCAAAACTTACCTGGTCCAAGTCCCACTCCCTCAGAAACTAGTGTTTGTCCAAGGCTTTCAACCAATTCTAATCTACACTTATGATTCATTCAAAGATACATTGAGTTCACGCATTTGTCACCTACCCCTCAGTCATACTAATAATACTGTTTGTTTGGAGGTCTACAATTTTTAAACATGGTCATATTCATTATTTTTTTAATCCTTCCAACAATTTAGGGAGGCAAGTATTGGTATCTTTAAGGATAAGAAACTCAGATGTTTTGCTTATCAAGAAATAGCTAACAAATGTCAAAGGAAGGTGTAGTAAACGCTTCAAACCTAGAGCTCTTTAACGCAGCAAACTTTAGCAGGGGTCTCCTGTTAACTGAAGGAGAACTTCACAGGGAGCATCAGGCACATGGGGTAGGCAGCAGGGCAGGCTGTGCAGGACAAGCCGGCCTTAACTTGCAGCCTGATGCCCACCTATCCTTCCAGAGTGGGAGGTGGCCTCCATCCGCCCCCAGGCTACACATCCCCAGTCATCACCCCAGCTCAGCTGAGGGTCTTGGAATTTTGAGGGTCCTGCCTTCTTGGAGCTACAGTTCCTGAAGCAGGATGAAGCCATGGGCACATACAAAAGACAAGGGAGCCCAGTGCCCTGTGGGAACCTGGTACCCTCTTCCACCCGTAAGTCAACCGGGAGAGTGAATATCTAGGATGGACTTACACTCTCTTAAGTGCTATGAAGGATGCTGACACAATTAAGTGTGTATTGGAGGCAATAAACCACACGAAGAGATAAATAACCGTTGGCAACAAAGATGGAAGAAACGTTCAAAGATCCTACATAATTGGTTGCTGAGTGAACCATACAGAAAACCGTTACCTTAGGAATTAAGAAGAGAACACTGCAGCCCTGAACATCCTAGTCCCAGCAGCCAGGGAGCCATCTATCCACTCCCTCTAGAGCACAGGGATGCCCCACACTCCAGGCACTCGCAAGCTGTCCTTAGGCCCTCAAGGGCTCTGCTGGACACCTCTGCATCCCGCCCCAACCCACTACTGGGGAAGCCTATGTCAACATGACTCTATCTCCCTGAACAGAGCGCGGGCACCTGGTCCAAACTAGGCCAAGAAGAGTCTTTTTTCCCTGACAGGAGGGTGCAGAGAGAAGGGAATTGACTCTAAGAATTAAGGCAGGGCGGGTGTGGGGAGAGAACACATTTCCCTAGATGAGTAAAAGGCCCATGGGGGCAGCAGGGGGGGTGGACTGGGAATTGAGCTGGCCGGTGTCAGATGGTAGAAGGTCACTACTGTCCAAGGCCACACTCACGTTCTGAGGAAGTGAGAAAGAAGGCAAACGTGGTCAAATATGGAACTGGGCGCTTCCCCACCCTCCATGAGTCCAGGCTGTTATGAACAAAATGACTCTTTACAGCTCAAATAATCAACCCCAATTCCCACCCTGCCAAATAAGAGGCAGCCAGCAAGTCATCCACAATCCATTTGTCCTAAGGTACGGTGTGACTGGAACCCAGGTCCCAGCAGAGGCTCCCGGTGAGGCTGCCCTGGCACCCAGCTGCCCACTCCCTCAAGGAGGAATGCCAGCCCTCACGCCAAAGCCACTGCAGGGTCAAGGCAGAGGACTGGAAGGCGGAGTGAGGACACACCCCATTGTCTCTGCCCCTCCCAGGAAAGACATCAACCACTGTGTATTCACTGGGGGCTGACCGAGTCCCACACCCTCCACCTCGTGGGGAGATGTGACAGAGCCACTCACACACAGAGAATGACACGTGGCAGTAGGATCACACTGAGGACCACGGAGCTCACAGATGGGAGAAACAAGAGGGCTGGAATTAGAGAGGCTTGGCTCCTGGGGAGAAGCGGGGTGCATGCAGCTCAGGAACACAGGGCCTCTCAGCTGCAAATCCACGCTTCTTTGGCGTACGCTGTGATGCTGGTGCTAGACCCTGTGTCATTTCTCCTTTGTCAGATGGGTCGCTATTAGGCTTTGTCAACAGGGGGCTCTGGGGGACACTGCAAGGCCACAGCACAAGGAGGCTCCCTTATTGTCCCCGTGCACTGTTTTCAGCTCATCAGCCAGTGGGTAGTGGCTTGGGGGTGACCACTTTGGTGGCCCTCATGGACCAGCCCACCCTCTGTAAATTTCTCCACTACCTGATGGGCCCCTCCTGTGGACCAACTCAGGCCCCATATCTTCCAGCAAGTGTTCTGACCACCCAGAAGGCGGCTCCTACACACTAGCTCCAGGTCACACCCTCCTACAAATTTCTCTGCCACCTGGCAGGCTGTTCCCATGGACCATGCCCGCCATCACGTCTCATCACCAGGGCAGCCCAGCATCCCAGCCTTGCAGGTGGGAGGCCCCCAGCTGAGTCTTTAGCTCTATTCTTGTTCACCACCCCCTCAGCCCTAGAGGGAGCAGGTGCTTTATGCATTTACTAATTCTGCACCTTTAGAATCTTCTTTTACTCCTTTTAGGTGTTAACTACCTTTTCCTAGTGAATAAGTCTTTATATTTAAATTACAGGTATGACTAGTCCCTGGCTGATACACAGGATTAGCCCCTGAAAAGATTAGAATAAAAAAGGAGGGCATTTCAGATCGAGAGAACATAACAACATGCATCTGTGTGTGTGTGTGTGTGTGTGTGGGTGGGTGTGTGTGCGTGTGCGTGTGTGTGTGTGTGTGTGTGTGTGTGTGATGCTGAAGACCTGCTCCACCATTTTCTTTAGACTGGATTCACATCTGCATTTATCTCTGCTGCTGGCAGCCCTCAGAAAGCATTAGCCTCATCCTAACAAGCCCTCCTACCAAGGAACAGAGCCAGGGCTCTGTTGCCCCTCACCTGTGGCCTGAGCCAGTCCTGGGTAGGACGTCTCTTGGCACAAAGTGATGGTCACCTTCAGGACACTGTCTGGGCAATGCAGAGAGCCCTCTCTGGTCACACAAGCCCAGGAAGGCTGGTCTACTGCTGACTCACTGGTTACTTGGCACATCAGCCACTGGGGACAGAGACCATGTGTTGTGTCCCCTGTAGACTCTGTGTACCCCAGGGCAAGCCATGCATGAGCTATAAATGTAGACTGATGACAACCTTGGGTCATACACTCACAAAACCATCATCCATGAAGCTGAATCAGCATTTACTGCAAGTGGCACCCACATTTCAACAAAAGAAGCCCCAAAGTCACCTTCAACCAGCTTCTAATTAAATACACACACACACACACCACACACACACACACACACACACACACACACACACACACACACACACACAGAGTCACATGGGGGTGAGGGACATTGCCACTAACCAAAAAGTGTAAATGTTCTTTTAAAGCCAAAAGACACACATGCTGAAAAACAGAGCAGGCACTCTGGTCTCCAGTGTCCCTTTCTAGCTCCAGCTCCTACAGCTCCTACAGCTCCACCATCCTTTGGGATCAGAAGGCAGGTCCCACTCAGAATTTCAAGAAATTACTCGCTTAGTGCAAACTCCCTCTTTCAGCATTCACCTCCTGCTTGCTGGTACCTGGGATGGAGGACTGCCCTTCCCCCAGCTCACTGAGCATCCTTGCTTCTGGGATCTGTAAGTAATACTAAATCTTGTGACTCTACTTCCTCTGTGAGGGTGTATTTAAACTGTACCTTCAATCAAAACAACCCACTGCGTTTCACTTCCCCAGTGGAAGCTTGGATGCCGAGGGAGCTACCAGCCAACCCCATGTAGGAGGCTTGCGCTCCTCATTCATCAGGTCATAAACTACATATTCTTAATTCAATACACCAGCTCTTGCTTCTCAACACATGTTACTGCCCTAACACTCCCCACCCATTTGCTCACTGGACCCGAGTCCTGCCCTTACCCAGCACCTGGTTTCACGAGCTAGTTGGGTATGTCACTGCCACGTGTCCTCGCTGCAGAGTCCCCACACTCCCCCTTCCGTTCCTGCCAAAACATGGCAGGAACGGCTGGCAGTGTCTCTCTGCCCCTCCTCCAACTTTGTTTTCACTCCCAGCTCAGTAACTTGCCTTATGATTATCTCATTACCAATAACCTTGTTGTAATGAGTTTTAATCTGCCTCATATTAATTAAAAGCATTGTCATTAGCCAGCTTGGGTTGGGGTTGGGGGGGGCGGGCAGTGAATAGCTAATAAGATCAACTCAGTACTGGTTAATTATTGATTGGGAGGGATGGAGTAAAGGCCCAAGGAGAGCAATCCTTTACTCGTGTCTAATCCCCAAGAGTAGGGATCTCGAGCGCCAAGCTTGGCAGAAAGGTACCAAAGCCAGACCAAATCAAAGAGGCTTCCCATCAGAATTGAGCAGTGTCTCCAATGGGATTTCGGGGTGTGACTGTGAGACAGAGACAAAAGAGACAGACGCATATACATACCCCACACATCACAGGAAGAAAGAGACAGTGAAAGACAAGGTCACAGACAGACCCCAAAACAGACAAGCCCCTTGACGGATTCTTCTAATCAAAGATTCAAGACCCAAAGGAAATGCACTGACATGTAAACAGTGTTATCTCTGGGCAGTGAGATTAAAAGAGTACTTTTCTTTATAGGTTTTTCTGTATTTTTCAAATTTCTTAAAACTAATATGTATTATATCAATGATGGAGGAGAATTTTAAAAAATAATCCCTT